ACGTTAAGCTTTGTGATGTTATTTTGAGATACTCCTCCTGAATATGTACGGTCTGTTGCACAAATTCTCCCTCTAGAGAACCGGGACTAATCCCTCCAATGTATCTGTCCCGATGAAGCAACTTCTCTCTTCGCATCTTTCCCTCTGGAAGTTTCAGAGACCACCATCCTCTTAGACTACTCTATCTTGCTGAACAAACCGTGCATTGTTCTGCCCCCGCAAACACACTTGTTAGATTGTGACTCCACATCAATACAACCCCTACTGCACCCCGAGGCCTAGCAACATATTGAACTCGTTGCACACTTCAACCTCATACGGATATATCATTCTCATGCCGATGAGAAAGTTTCAATGCTCCATGGTGCCGAGTTTCGATCGTCTTAGGATGACCACGAACATTCTATCGTCCGCATACAAGCCCTTAAATGAGTACCAAATTCTTCGAGTTAACAATTCCCCTCAACTTTGTGAACCTTGCACAACTCTTTCGGTTGCTGAATAACTCATTACACCTTGCATTGTCTCATCCTTAACCAAGTGTCTCGCTTGCCTTGAACACTATCAAGTATGGTTACCAATATCGAGTCGTAGCTCGAACTCAACCATTCCAACCTTTGTGCGCTACACATTCTTCCCAGCTTACTTGTCTTCGTGATGCCTCTTGAGCAAAGGATTAGCTATTTCTCTAAATGTCAATCTCATATATCCGTTTTTCTGAGCGATTCTTTTTTCCTATATCTCCATGTTAGTTTCCCCCAAACAATCGCGCTTGCTGGCTACTCTTAACGCAATCCCGCTAAGTTCCCCACGTTTGTATGCCAAGTGTTTCTATAAGTGTTTTTCCCGCTTTGAGACCATATGTCACGTACTCAGTTGGTTTTGCCAAAATCGTGCAACTCTCTTACGCATCCGTCCGAAAAGGTCTACTTATAACCTCCTATGGTCCCATATAACCTACAAAAGAGAAAATGAGTTAGAAAAAATATCACACTTGGGATCCAAATGACTTTATAGTCAATGCAAATTATAGATAGACTTAAAAACTTTGAACGATCGCACAACAAAAATGTCCAAAATGGTCTACTACAAACGGAATTCTTCACAAGTGCCCACAGGACACAATCTTTATTTGCAAGCCTAAGATAACCGTCAAAACCAAAGAAAATGAGACTACTAAACCTATTGTCAACACTTTACATGCTATGCAAAGCATGAACAAAACCGAAAGACACAGACATATATGAGCATTACATCAAAACCCCGTTTATAGTTTTCTCCATGACAATTCGGAATCAATTTGCACAGAATCCAAAAGTTCATAAGATCCAAAATCATCTCGGTTGAATTGCTACGCAGAATTTCTAAAACCTGCAATTCACATACAAACCAACAATAGTGTGCCAAACAAAATCAGAAAATGATTCAAGCAAACATTTAGTAAGACAAAACAATGCCAATCTAGCATGTCACATAAGAAGAATCTCACACCTCAATAGACTTTTAGAGAAGCCATTTGCATTCTATTTCCAAAATCTCAAACTAGGGGAATAATCTACCTTCATCAATCAGAGATTTCAAACAGGCCAGGGACTTCTGCTTTGCAACAAAGAACAGACTTTTCCATGAACCTTAATGAGTAAAACTGGAAGACATTTTGTGTTGGGCACTGCATAGATCTTCCACAACATTACTACCATATGACACCAAAGGAATAATTCTATCACTGGACTGCACCTCAGTAGCCAAGGCTGGTGGTTGATGTAAGACAGCTTGTTGTCAAGGAAAAAGGTGCGGAAACACTGCTCTCAGCTCCTGTTGAGAAAATCAAATGTGAGTTAGACCATCAGCTAAGCCCTTCTCATCCTCCTCTGATACCAAATAAAAGGGCTCATTTCCCTTCACACTCACCTGCTCTCAAAATATCAAGAAGCTCAGGAACCTTTTCTTTGTAAGGTAGAACAATCTTCTCCATGAATTTTGTATTTGATAATTTCACATAGTACAAAAACTTGCCTCGTCGAGTCCACAAGCCTTTCGTATTCAACATCTCGAAAACACGAAACCGAGGAATTACCGTCTTCTGCAGACTCAATAGCAAGAGATTCGGATGGGAGGCGATGAAGGAAGGGGTGTACCCGACTACATTGATAAAAAATTCCACTTTTCTGCGCAACATATCGAGGGAGATGCATAAGAAGGTGGGTGCTTTCCTGACTGCAGAAGAAAACTCCGACTCCGACCACCCGAAGCTCCTCATGAGCTCGACCTTGGCCTCGAACCTTTCCTGGCTTACGTTGTGGAGAGCTTCAAGTATCCGCACGAACATCCGAGATTGCCGTGGCATCCCCAGCTCATCGGCTCTCGCCACCAAAGCTCGGAGAGACTCTGGTTTATTTGAGATTAATTGTGGGTGACTTCTCAAGACGACAGAGACCCTTTCTTCAGGAATGCCGCACTCATCCCTCAAGAACTTTAGGTTAGGATGCAATGT